CTCGTTCTCTATACTCCGCCATCCACAGATCAGATGCTGAAGTGTTACAGGAGATCCATCGAGCGGAGTTCCCCTTTAATCGGCATGTTGCGGGATGTCGGCTGATTGGCTGCTTTCCCACGTAGTATGTGCGGCGCGTGCGTGCCGTGCGTTGCCGATCCTCCTCTAGCGCCGTGTCACGGATGGAGAGGTGGTTTCAGGAAGTTGACTTCTCGCCACATCCTGTGTCCCCGCCAAGAACCATCCGCTCTGTGCGTACAGCTCACCGCACCGCCGCGCAGCACTGACCGGAGGAGGACGTCTGTAGCAGGATTCCTCAGGCAACGTTGTGCTGGGGGCGGGTTCTGGTCCCCATCCATCCTGCCTTCACAAAAAACTGCTTCGTCCTGCTGTGCTGCACCCCATCCCCCCACCACCACCACCATCTCCTCTTCTGTAATGACTTCTGCAGAACAATAGTGTTTTGTCTGAACGTTTCCTCTGCTCCCCCCGGAGGTCAGGAGGCGACCTGTCGTCTCTGTCTGTAGCAACCAATCAGAATGTTCCTTTCATTATCTATTCTGCATTGTGAGGCGACATCTGATTGGACAATACCAACTCGCACAGCCCGTGGTGGTGGTGGTACTACAATTTCTTGCCGGCAGAGCATGCTGGGAGATGTAGTTCCTTGGCAGCTGGTGGGGGGATGGGCAGCAAAAAGTTATCATTTTCTAGCTAAGCGAGGGGCGGAGTCAGGCCGACGTATCTCCTCATTGGCCCCGATCTGATGGAGCCGTGCGTCACTAAACATCTTCCCACGCGTCCATCCACCGCTCAGTGAGTGTGAAAATCACTCCGCCCACTGGTCCCGCCCACACAGTGACATCATTGCAGCCTCTTCTTCCATGATTCTGTGTGGGCGGGACCATAGAGGTCTGCGTTTTGATAGGTTTGGGTTCTAGGCCTATCAGAAGCTGAGTAGAGGGGAACCTGTCAGGAGGCGGTGGATTGGGCGCTGTGATCGGAGTGCCGGCCTCGTCCCCCCCCCCCCCCCCCCGCGGGCCCGTTGCAGGAGAAAAACAAATATATTTTGTGAATGGCAATACACTACACACTCCCAGGTCTGAAGAGCAGGGATAGAGTGAGACATAACCCTTTTGGCCCATCGCCTAGAAGGGCAAATCTGTCAATGTCCAACCTTGACCGAGCACGAAGAGATCTGTTGCAGGGGAATCCTGCTTTAAAATATAAAAGCTTCTATTGAATGGCAGTCTGAGTCCTTGACTGTGAGTGTTTTTTGTCTGTATATTGATGACAGTGTCCAGGCTGAAATAAGTCTGTAGTTGTGGACACAGGCTGCTATATCCTGGTTGGACCAACAAAACTCACATCATATAAACACAGCAGTATTAAGGTGGAAGTTCTGTAAAATGAGCACACATCATACCCCAATGTCCACTTGTTGAAAGGATGAGCTGGAAGTAACACTAAACTCAGGAGTTAAAGTGATATTGAAGCCTCCTTTTTTTAAAAATGTGTCCAACAAGGAGACCCACCTTTGCTGGAGGCTGTTGCTATTTTTCTTTAAAAGCTGTTAATTCCTCGTTTTCTAGTGGGTCCCCGCAGCAACCTCCCCCCCCCCCCCCCCTCCCCGGGCTCTGTGAAATGTCAGCGCCGGCTGATCTCTGCCCTCCATCTATATTCGGATCATAAACATGTTAGCATTGCGCACAGTGCGGGCCGGCGGCGCCTCCTGACATTCCTCCCGTCTCTCCTGTAACCCCTCGCTGACCCGATAACAATGAGCGCCGCCCAGACTCGTGTCCCCGCGTGTGTGACCGCGCCCTGAGCGTGGGCCTGTCATTCCGGGGTCCCCCCCTGCTGCCACTGTATCATCAATGTGCATCATATGACAAGGAGGCGGAGTCACTCATGGTCTGTCCACACCTCCTCCATGGTTACTTTTTGAGACTCCCATTTTCTAGGCCGGGAATTTGTTGTGAGAACGCAGCGGCGGAATCGGAAACACTTCCACTAAAGTGCCACAAACACCCGAAGCCAAGACCAGTTCATCGGGATGTAAGCTCCTCCCATCACATTGGGGGGCAGTGGCAAGAATGTCCAATCTCTTTGGGCCTGGCCCCGCCTCTTTGGTCATTGCTCCGCCTCTCTGTGGGCCATGTGCTGCCTGTTGTAGAACGATATTGGAAGGGTGGTCTGTGTGGTACGTTGAGTCCTTCTCGAAGGTTTAGTTCTATTC